CGAAAAATATAATGTTGGTATAGCTGTCCATGTGACATATATTAGTATTTTGAGGATTTTTTTTCTTCTTCATAGAAGCATCACAAATCTATGTTTTATATTTCAATTATGTACAATTGATCAACTGTTCAGGTCTTTGTAATGTTTCCTGCTGTCTCCTGTTCACTGCCAATTACAAGTATAATCTTCTGTCTAGCGACAAATGTTTCCTCTCATTGTTATCTTATAGTCTGAAGCTGTTTAAAGCGGGCCAAGAAGCTGTGAAGTATCAGGGAGCGAGGGACTTCCAGACGCTGGAAAACTGGATGCTTCAGACTCTAAACGAGCAACCAGAAGTGAGTGTCCAGGAAGCTCTGCCTTCCTGAATTTTGGTTTTCACTATAGTTAATGCTCAAAGGGACATCTGCTTAGTAAAGTCAGTGACGTTTTCAGCACCTTATATCGGCATGCGGAAGGAACGCTCTGATGGAGAACAAACGCATGACCTGTAGATGCTCCAGTTTGCTTTGTCATGGTTTAATAAAAAAATACCTTTAGCAGAGCTTTAGGAGGTGGGCAGTATTCAATAAACCCTTGTACTCCTAGCTGTGGATCTCATTTACAGAAACTAGTAATGAATGATATGCTATCTATAAAATATAATTTCCCAAACTTAAGTCGGTAATGTTTTACCATTAAATCCCTTTCCATTTTATGAGTAACCATGTACCAGTGAAGACCACGTGTATTCCTTACACATCGAGGAAAAAAAAAAGACTATTGTCCACCTATAAAAAAAAATATCTGCAAAGTCAATAGAAGCAGACGCATCCTCTGGTTAAAATATACCGGCTCAAATTCTTGCCACTGGTAGTTGACAAATTATTTTGTCACCTATGGATGTCCTGCACATTCATTCTGAGCACCGTGGGGTACTGACTACACAGCAAGGTTGTACAGTAAAGCTTAAGGAAATGCTCATCTCCAACCAGTGAGATTCTGCTTGTGAGGAAAGCTTTACATGAAGCGAAGACATGTAACATAGCTGCAGAAGAGCAAGTTAGAGTAGAGGAGATCTATTTTGGGATGTCTCTGGTAAGAAATTTGATTCTACCAGTATCTAGAGTGGGTTTTTGTTATATTTTTTTTTTTTTTTTCTTTCTATCTCCAAGTACTGACACTGGTAGTTTTAGGCTGAATCTTTAGGTTCCTAAACCTTTTAACCAAGGAATTATACATTTTTGTAACTGTAGAAGATCCAACTGTGGTCTTTTTAATGTAATTGTTATTTTTGTTCTACTTTTACCATGATTATGTTGTAACCATTTGGAAATAAGTGTCAATAATTGTTTGTTGAATGTAAAATTTTGTTTTTCATTGTGTATATATGCAATATAGTAAGTTTATTCCCCCACATCAGTATAATATGAAAAATGGTGACCTTACACTATTTTTAAAGTTGTAATTTTGGACTTCTATTGTGTGTTTTTAATGAATTGTCTTGCCTATTCTATAAATTTACCTTGCCCATTAATTCCAAATTCCTGCAGTACATATAATGCATGATAGTGCCAGGCTCTGGGGTTGATTTTAGTTGAGTAGAGGCTGCTCACTTACAAAGTTCATGTGAGTTGGTTGACAGGAAAACCATTTCATCTTATTTACAAAGCTCAATGGACATTTACCTATCCAACCCGACAGTCTGTATTCCTTTTATCCTTCAATTGCAGTGTTTCCCAGCTCTAGTCATTAGGTGCCCTCTCCGTAATCCAGCAAAGGTTGAACATGTTGCCTTGTTGCCACAACTCTTCCCGCTGGCAAAAATTCTTAAAATATGATCTGTGGATGGACCTTGAAAACCAATAAGAAATGCTGCCATGGGTTCCATATTTCATTTGGCGATCTTGCACATGGCTATACTGGGCAAGATGGGCAGTAGTGTAGGCTAAGCTTAAAACCTTTTCCGTGGCCAGTTAATACCGGATCTTGTAAGCAAATATTAAATGGGCTGTGGGGGGAAACCTTTTTTTTTTTTAAAAAAAGGAAAAAACTAAAATCTTTTTAGAGAGAAAAATACAGCAAGTCCAGTTGCCTTGACTTATTTATTTATTTTTTTTTACAGATCTTTATACAGTTTGCAGTGTAGAATATTTTCTTTTAGGTGATGTAGAAGGGACAAAATCCCTATTCTGTCCTTGCATTGAAATCGAACGACAGTCTTTTTACCAACAGCTAGAAGATGCTCCAACTATATAGTTTGTAAATCTAGTGCTACCTGTACATGCTGTCTGTAAAACAATGCAATCACTTCGATGTGTACGACTTTTAATGAAAGAATCACATCACAAATGGATTGCCTTAATTTATTCACTGAAAACACCCATTTATCATTTAACTTGGAAAGGATTTATGTTTCTTGATGGCAAATGTAATTAATCCAAATCCATCTTTTGTTTCATGAGAGGATTGTGGGTTTTTGTTTTTCCATGAAAACGTGTCCAGAGTGATTGGTAATAAAGGACAAGCAGTCACATTGTAGTGTTTTGTGCATATGCACGTACACGCTCTGCCTTTTTAAACTTGATGATTTTTAATTTAGCTTTACTTTTACATTAAAATAAATTGCTTCTAAACACCTTTATACTGCGAATGCTGTATTCCAGGAACCAAAAGTTGAGCAGGAAGTCCCTAAAGCACCAGAGGGCAAACAGGGCCTTTTTGAGCTCTCCTCAGGAAATTTCAAGGATCACATTGCTGAAGGTATGTAATGAACTAGCCTGATTTGTGCCAGTGTATATTAAGGTGTATGTCCACTTTCAGAATTGAGAACATCCCACTATATGTTTGTGTTCCTTGTCACACATCCGATCTAACACGCATTTTTTTTTTTTTTCTTTCAATGTGTTTCCGTTTAGCCTTTGCATGCTCCTCTCTCGATTTCAGCAACCGCAGTCTCGGATTGTCCAAATGGAAAGACCAAGGGCCGGTACATGCCACCCCCGGTCCGTTCCAGCATGATTCGCTGCTGCAGTGCACTGGAGCGCCTCCCGGCTGGCTTCCTGCGTTCAGGGGCTGTGCAATTGCTCGCACCAGAACATGTGGCACATTAGAGCCTGCATTCCGGTCCAGTGCGATCTGAAAAAAAATGGTGCCTGCAGCGTCTTTTCAGATTGCGCTGGACTGGAATTATTATACAGGATTTATATAGCACCAACAGTTTGCGCAGCGCTTTACAATATAGAGAAGACATTGCAATCACAATACAAATCAAGACAAGATAGTAGGGATGAAGTTTTGTGGGGACATTAACGCTGGAAGTTTAAATGTGCATTTAAAAATGTGTTCTTAATCTCTACTAATAGACAACTTTGCATGGAAATTATTAGTAGCTTCTGTAATCCTTAATGCCAGCAGAGATCATTCTGCTTTTAGGCTGCAGGGATCTATAGGACGAGAACCCTAACCTCCTGTGGTGCTGGTGGCCTAATGAGGATGTGGTAAAATTGGTGCTCCCTTTTTGGCATTCCACTTCGTGCACTGCCAGTGGCAGAAGTGAATTTGACCATTTTTCTAGGTTTTAAGCAAATCCCAACTTTAACCATACTGGGTGGATTCTCTTCCAGCTCTGACTTGTTCATCTCTAGCTGTCAATGTGCTATAGGGCGCCTCCTCTTCCCTTTTTTGGGGGTTGGAGTGATCCATTGTACAAGGAGGTAGTTCATGAATTTTGTCTGTTGCTATACTTTTACATTTCACAATTCAGTCAATCATTGTCACCCAAGTTATGATGGGATTTGTCTAATATTCCTTTCTGATTTTGGCAGGAAACCACTTCATCAAATTTTTTGCCCCTTGGTGTGGCCATTGCAAATCATTGGCTCCGGCATGGGAGCAGCTGGCTTCCTCCCATCAGAAATCTTCAACAGTCACAATTGCAAAGGTTTGTACAGGCTAACCTGGCCCATTTTCGGGCTGTGAGGTTTGATTAGCGTTCTAGACCTTGTAGAGCAAAAAGAATTGTACATTTGGGGCACATGTATTCAACAACTTTACTGATAACATTTTGTCAGTGTGAATTTCACTCTCTCTTCTGAAGGTGAATAAACCTGTTTTTATTGGCAAGATAAAGATTTCTGTAATGATCTATTAGGATATTTCCAAATATGCCAAATACATTTTGTTACTCCGGAGTACCTAGAGGAAACCCATATAAGCACAGGGAGAATGTGCAAACTCCATTTTGGGATTTGAACTGAGGCCAGCCAGAAGTGCTCACCACTAAGCCACATCTGTAAAATAAATCAGTTGGTCTTGCATAGATCAGCCCCACTGATGCCCCTTATCTTGTGACATGCCATAAATGCATCACAGTGATTACTGGTGGCAGTAAGACCAATCACTTCCTTCTGCATGGGATGGATAGATTACCTTTTCCCTCCAGAGAGCTTCTCTGTCAGACCTTGAGAGACTATGCCTAGGAAAGCCACAGTCTCTTATTCTCATCCGAGGAGAAAATCTGAAATTTTAGCTTGTGTTATTGCTTGCTTCTGCTAAAGCTGTTTATACACTCAGTAAAATTTGCTCAGTTGGTGGCCCTGTCTGCCAGCTCCCACCCAACATTCTTTGATTAAAAAATTTGAAGTAGCCGGGCAGAAAGCTGTCCAATAATATGCACTGTTCAGGTATTTTATTAGCTGGTGGGGCCGACTCTCAAAAATACAGTAGCTGCAACTAGAGGTTTTTTTCCATCCATGCTTTTTAGCATGGATGGGGGGGATCTGTTCAGTTTTTTTTTGTTTTTTTTTCCCCCAACCTGAAAGTTGAACAAAATAAATGTCACCCAGCTTAAGACCCTGAATGTTTATCTTGACATGTGATAAAAGAAATGTAGAAAGTATTGTAGACTTAGACTGTAGGGTTTTGCTGTTGCACAAGGTGATTTGTGTGGTATATGATCTGTCACTGGATGTTAAACAGTCATGTATCTGGAGCTTTAGCAATGCTTTTCATAAGTCTACAGCAAAATATACTCTTTATCAAGCCTATTGTATCACCATATAAACTTCTCCTGCTTGTCAAGAATTTGTGCAAACTTGTAAAGCTATTGATGGGATCCCTACAGGCTACCTTTTTCTTACCTAATTTCAAACTATTAGCCAGGAAAGTGTTTATTAGGGTTACATGTTTAAAACTGGGAGTAATACCCAATGTGCTGTAGACCTTTTGGGGAAATGGACATTTATTTTACTAGATTTTACACTCTCCATTCTAATCCTTTCCCCCCTTATGATAGGTTGACTGTACTCAGCATAATGACCTCTGCTCCGACAATCAAGTGCGTGGCTATCCCACACTGCTCTGGTTTAGAAATGGTGAAAAAGTAAGTAGTATTCATTTTACACACAGAATGGTGTACAATTTATTATTTTTAAACAGCTTATATATAACTCTTTTGCTTCTGTGTTTTTTCTTTTTTTTTTTTTTTCTTTTGTCATTTTTAGGTGGATCAGTACAAGGGCAAGCGGGATTTGGATTCCTTGAAAGAGTATGTGGAAAGCCAGTTGAAAACAACAGATAAGGAAGCTGATGTCCCAGCACAAGCGGACGAACCAGCGCAAGCAGATGAACCAGCAGCAGTGGAAGTGGGTGGCCCAGTGTATAGGTTTAATTTAAAAGATGATGCAGCAGGCACTGTGTGCCAGTTGGCAAATGTTTTTTTTTTTTTACATTTTACTTCACACTGTTGGCTGATTGTGAAAGGCAAAATATTCGTGAAGGATGAGTGCACCTAAGTGCCTGCTCTGAGTTCACCATCCCCTAAACAGAAGCCTCATCAATAGAAGCGTATACCTCAGATGCTCAGAAATGTACATCTCCACTATGCCAGTAGTAGCTAGCTAGAGTCCTACAGTTATACATGCTGGTGAAAATTTCAGTGTGCACATGGACCAACAAAATGCTGTATTACATATAAGCAAGTCCTTTTTTTGATTTATTTATTTTTTAATCCACATATCTGCCTAGATCACTAGTGCCTAAACGCTGTGTTTGGGTACTATAATTTTTCACACCACACTTCTGATTTGTACAAACAAATTTCTGTAGCAATATCACCGTGATTAACCTGAGTAAATATACAAATCGTACTGTTTACAGGAAGTTTAACAATGTTAGTTGTACAGCTGGTTGTGTGTTTGAAGTGTTTGGGAAGATGATTTGTATTGCCACACTTCATGCAAAAGTGTATTGAACAAGGTTCATGTAGTCTGAGTGCACTGGAGAGTAGAGCTGCCTGCAAACAAGCATGCCTCATTAACATTTGAAGACTTCTGTGTGCCGTAGCTAAAGACTGCTTGTTTTATCTTTCAGTCCAAGGTACTGACTCTTACGGAAAATAACTTTGATCAAACTGTTGCCAAAGGTATCAGCTTTATAAAGTTCTATGCACCATGGTAACTATTTATTTTTTTTCTTCTTAATCTAAACCTTATGTTTAAATGTGCATTGGTTAATTGACAAAGACTTTTAAGTAGAAGACCTTATAATGTCGAGCTAAAATAGACTAAATATCTATTTAAAATGTTTACCCACATGAATTGTCAACCAATGGTCTCTGTTGTCTTAGGAAGACCACTGATGGCATGACTTGCATCAGCACCATTTCACTTAGGTCCTTACTCTTGATTGCGGTGTTTAGAATTGGCAGAGTCCTTGCAACTTAATTAAAAGGTCTACCTTAAGAATAGCATTTTAAAGAAGTGGTATGGTCATATGGTTTAAACAAAAAATGATAAATCTGCTTTGTTGTGAATGTGGCCTAAGTGTAATTCCTCCATCCACTTGCTTTATTCCTTTTATTACCTCTTAAATGAATTGTGCAAGAAGCGTTACCCTTTTAAAATTCTGTATGTTGATGGACTGCTTTTCTTCCAGGTGTGGACACTGTAAGCATCTAGCTCCTACATGGGAGGACCTTTCCAATAAAGACTTTCCTGGTATGAGCGATGTTAAAATAGCTAAAGTGGACTGCACTACTGAGCGATCCCTCTGTAATAGGTTCTCGGTAAGTTGTGTGTGCATGTGAACATCCTTCCGGAATTAATCTTAAACTGATACAAAGCAAACTGCTGAACAGAAACAACGGATAGTAACTTTAAATGCTGAAAGTAGGTTGCTTTGGGCGATGTCTGAATTTTTCCTTTAGTTCTTTGCACTGGTCTTTGTAAACCAACCTCCAGTATTTTCTATGTATTGTGGGTCCAGTAGATGGCGCTTACTTTCCTAGGTCAGTAGTGTCTTTATCAAACTAATTGCTTTATTATCTTACTTAACCTCTATACATGGTTGTGTAGGCATGGGAATGTGTTTAGTGATGCTGCTTGTGTTCTATATTATATATTAGTGAAGACAGGTTGTAGTTTCCATTCAGGTCTCATCCACCTTGGAAGTCATAAAACTGCTACACCCCTGCTATTTCTGCATCTTGGCAGTTGTAGGTTCTTGTAGACTGTCATTAACGTTGACATGGCTATGGATTATGGGCTGGGCACCTTAATTGCAGTATAGTAGGGATATTGGAGCGCAGTTTCTGTATTGGGGGTGGAGGGGGGATGTTAGTGGACTTTCTCAGCTTTGTGGGAGGTGTGAAAATGAAATGAGGTAAAAGATGTGTGTGTCCTGAGGAATTTTAGATTTTCATGCAGACCAAATGTTGCCCAAAACTGCTGAACACTCCTTTTTATTTATTACAGGTATTTTAGATACAATTTATTTGTATTTTTTTTGTTTATGCAGCGCTTTACATAGTGCACATTTACATTTGTCCCTGCCCCCTAGGAGCTTTCCATCTAAGGTCCCCATCTCTTACACACAAGGGCCAATTTACCTTCCAGCATGTCTTTGGAGTGTGGGAGGAAACAGGAGTACCCAGAGGAAACCCACCCAAGCAAAGGGGAGAACATGCAAACTCCTTTTGCAGATAGTGTCATGGCAGGGATTCCAACTAGGGCTGAGATTAAAACCTGAGACCCCCAGTGCTGCAAGGCAGAAGCGCTAACCACTACGCCACTGTGCTGCTCTGTGCTAACCACTTTTGTTATTAATGAAAAATTATTAATATGGAGATTCTGAAAAATGAACCTACTGTACATTATGAGGAACCTGCAACAGCAAAGAGAAGCTGCATGCAGGTCACAGCTACAAGTGTCCCAGTTTTAACAAAATGGATATGCTGGCGTAACCCATAACCACCCAAGATGCCATCCTGTGCTAATCTGAGTGAATTGTGATTCAGTTGGTTTTGCTGTAATTGGCATAAGAACTTATTGCATAAGGCAGTTATTGGAAGCCACATGTACTCCACATAATGACCATTTGGTACCATAGCTGCCTTTTGATTTATAGAGGAAGAGTTGCCATTCTTCATTAATGGTAATATTTGTATTGTGATGAAGCAATGTTCAGTTTTTTCAGTATGTTGAGTTTTGAAAAGCAAGTTGTGTAGAATCTTCATCCTCCCCCCCCTTTTTTTTTTTTTGCCAGGTTCGGGGCTATCCAACATTGCTGCTGTTCCGTGCTGGAGAAAACGTGAGCGAGCACGAAGGAGCTAGAGACCTGGAGACGCTACAGAACTTTGTGTTGCGGCACTCCAGGGATGAACTGTAAACCATCCTGAACCCTATGGGTTTGAACTGTGTGTACAGGCCAAACAGTTACTGAGTCATTTACATGCAGTACTGCAGAGCATACTTAAATAATGGTTTGTCTTCTGGGTGTTCTGTAAGATGCACACAACCCTGGAGATAAAAACAGGGATCTACAATTTTTATCTTTCAGAATGACCTTAAAAACTTCTATGAAGACATCTCAGGATGTATGTCATGCCACTATTATGGACGATACTTCTTTATAGATTTAGCAGTCTTTCTCAAACTGTTCTTGTTCACCACATTTGTCAAAATGTTTCACGTCCGATCAGCTGTGAAGTGCCTTACTTGCTGGGTGGGTGAAATATGAAGGGTTAATCTAACAAATTTTTTTCCTTCAAGTATGTGCAGTAAGTGGATAATTTTCACTATGTCTTTTGTCTTGTCACAAATGTTACCCTTTTTTTACTTGTTTGGGTGGGAGGGGATGGAGTTTTTTGATCCTGTGTATCAGTGTATTGAGCCTGGCCTTTTTTAGGGTCTTGGCACAACTACACCAATAAAACATACAAACTTTAATACATGGGGCTTTTGTTTTTTGTCTTGGCGATGCCAGAGCTTAAAGTTTGTGTTTTTTATAACTTCGCTTATTGGAGGTGAAGGAATGAAGACTTTGTGTCATCCTGACTGCTGTCTAAGCAGAATATATCATGCGTTTTGTGCTGTACATATAAGTGAAACCTCTGTAGAGAGACTTGTTGAGGATGCCATTGTTGACCTAAAATGCTACTTGCCTGGCTAGTTGTCATGCTGATCCTCTTACTTCAGTTGCCATAGGGACCAGAAAACCAGCATGTTTTCGGAAGAAAATGGCAATGGTATTTTTGTTCAATTTTTAAGGTAAATCTACTAAACTCTCAAACAATGTAAAAACAAAAAATAGGATTTGCTCTGTAACACAAGGCTATTGTGAGCTAATGGTTTGTAGGCAAATGTCCTAGTTGACTAAAAGCTGGAAACACTGCTGATAATGGATCTGTAGTTGTACCATTCTTTTTTTGGGGAGGGGGGAGGGGTGGGTAAGTCACAAATGATGCTTCATACTATACAAGGTTATATGTAAGATTTGCTCTAACATTGATAATTAAAAGCTAGCTGTCCCATATGTTCTGTTTAAATATATAGATTTGTTGACTATCCATCAGTGGGAGCTTTACGGGCTCGGTGCAATTGCTCTGCCTCTTAGGTCTTGTGTGTAAAGCTTGCG